TCCCTAATTTTTAATAAAAGAATGTCTTGGCTTATTTTTTTTTATTTTTATTTTTTTTTATTTTTTTTTTGTTTTTTTTTTTTTTTTTTTTTTTTTTTTTTTTTTTTTTTTTTAGGAAAGTTTTGGCTTTATTTATTTCAGAAAAGTATGCTCAAATACCTTTAACTATATACTATATTACCATAATACAATATAATAGACATACTTCTAAAATAAAAACTTACTCAATTCTGAAGAACTTAGATGCGATTAGCCATAGTAGTTGTTTATCTCCATTCAGACTTAGAGCTAGCCTCAGGCTTGATAACCAATATGTAGCTACCAGCCTATCAAAACTGCCTATTTCTCTTTTTTTAAAACTTTTTCTACCTAGATTTGGGTAAAAAAAGTTTATTCCTTACTTTTATCTAAAAAAAGAAAACAATAGCCACCATTACAAAAAAAAAAGACTAATTCAGAAGAAAAAAGGAAAAAAAAAGAAAAAGAAAAAGAAAAGAAGACAAACAAAAATGAAAAAAAAATAAAAAAGAAAAAGAAAAGAAGACAAACAAAAATGAAAAAAGATAAAAAGAAATACAAAAAAGAGAAAAGAAAATGAAACTCTAAATGCTATTTAATTATAATTGAAACAGATGAAAAAGAAAAAAATTATAAAAAATTAATAATATTAATAAAAAGAATTTAATAATTGGGCAGGTGACAATTAAAACATTGATCAATTAATTCAACAAACACAGTTTAATGCAGAGAAGTTTAAGGACATTATTGAATGGGTGCCTTTTAGCAAATAATAAGAATTTCAAAATTGAGCAAGCGACTATCACGATGTTGATTAGTTAATTCAAAAACACAACTTAGCGCAGAGAAAGTAATTATTAAATGGATACCCTTTAGCAAATTTGCAAGTATAAAAAAAAGGATTTCATAATTTGGCAAGTGATAATCACGACGTTGGTCAATTACAACTTAATGCAGAGAGTTTAAAGACATTATCGAATGGATAGACTAACAATGCTATAAATAGGTGATTCTTAATTGTCGCATTCAATAATTACTGTATGAAGAATCAAATTCTTTTTAATAGATCACGGCGTGTGACAATTGAATTTTTAGTTCCTCCGACAAAATATAAAGTATCTTGAAGAAAAAATACTATATAATATTAGTACCTACTTCCATGAATAATCATCTCCATTTTCAACCTCGATAACAGCAAGATTGGCAACTTCCTTCGCGGTTAAGCCTGTACATTGAGAACAAAATTTATATATTCAACTTATGTATTTTACACAAAATATTTTAGCAAAAACTGTTCATGTTAACCAGTTGAATTCATTTTAAAAAAAAATTCCGAATAAAATTAGACTTAATGTTTCTTTCGTCTTTCTAAAAGTAATGAAAGTTTTCAACACGAAATTATTCACCTAAAAATCTTTGTTAATACTCGTCACAAATTTTATTTCAATTATATCACATTCGGTTTTGTACTTTTGACGCGATGAATTTAAGCTCCCCCATTCCGCTCCAGAAATTAACTTCGAACTACAACGTAAGTTCCTAATACAGTAAACTCTTAACGCTGCCGTATTTTCTTATATATAAAAACAAAATTATTTAATTTGGTAAACAGTTTTTAACATTTGTTCCGTTTTCTATTTGTGTTTTTATTTGCGAACAAGATCTAGAATTCTAATGATATAAGAAAATTAACAGCTTGTCCATTGATAAAGATTCGATCTTTATAACCTTCCTTGAAGTGTTTAATATCAGCGAAAATTGGATCTGTTAAAATTAAAAAGGTAAATCTGATTAATGTTAGATATTTAAATACAATAACGAAATAATTTGCTTAAAATATTATCATTATCGCGCAAATCTGGTACTGTACATATTTTCTGAATACGCAGTTTCGTCACTTTTTGTCATTTAAAATTTTAATCGACAAAAGACTAACTAGATTTCGCGTCTTGCCAGCGCGAAACTTTCAGGTTTCTATATATCCCATCCAAAGTTATATAAAACATCATACAGTCGATTACACTTATGGATTTTAATAAATACACATCGTTTTACGGCTTACTTACTAATCTTGATTTTTATATTTTACATATTAATTCTTTGTAATCGGATTTTGAAAAAATTTTCACGAACAAAAATTTCCCAATATTTTGCTGCCTTAATATTAAAATGCCGACTTATTTTCTTTAAGTGTCTATTACCTATACTTAAACAAGTGCATCATATAATTTAGATATTAATCGTAGGCCTTCTCACGTACATGTTAATTTCAGCAAAAATTTTTATTATAGCCAAATGAATTGATGTAAACGATCATATTTTGAGAATTATTTACAGCAACAAGAAAAATAATGATAGAAGGTATCTGGAAATAGCAAAAATTTAATATTATATAAAATATTCTTATGCGCATGAATCAAATAAAACATCTTACCGAAAAAATTCATAATTCATCAAAAGATTCTAAATGGACTCTATACTCTATACACCTCTAGAACTACTAGAACTAGTACTATTCTGTCTAGTTATCCCACCAAAAGAAACAATAGGAACATTTTCAATCTTTGGACCAATATCACTTGTATCCTTAACACCTCGTTTTAGAATAAGCCTATCGTAAAGTTCAATATTTAAGTGCATGCTAGATTGATGAGCTTCCAATAATTTTTGTTTGAAATCATCATCAGTCGGAACACCTGCAGGTGTAACAGGTTCAGGTTCGGTATCTTTGGCTACTTTGTAAAATGAATCGAGGAGAAGGGCACAATCATCCAAGTTTTCACGTGGTTCCCATCTGGAAAGTTTTTAAGTTAGAATTATTGTAGTTATTTGATAGAGTTTTAATAAAATGGATCTCACGTTGGTTTCGAATATCCTTTCCATTGAATCAAGAATTTTTCTTTACCCTATAAACAATAAAATTTTCCGTTAGTACACATATTTTCCATAAATGAGGTATACCTAAATTTAATAACCATTTTATAATTTATAAATTCACGGATAACACCGATTACAACTTTTATATACGTTATTTATCAACAACACCGCTAGCATTGTACGTTCATCGGTAACACTGATA